TTTACTTTCATTTTAAGTTATTTTAATCTCTTTTTTTTTAGTTAATTATACTAATTATTTTATATGTATGTGTCTATATGTACATATGTACACTTTTTTTTAGTTTAAGGGTCATACACAATATATCATGAAGCGGTTCAGAGCCGTTGCTCCATATTCAAGCGAACGGAATGGGATGAAAGTTGACAATATTAACATTTTGCTATTGGATGACGACCCTGTATGCCTCTCAATTCTCTCAAGAATGATGCGTGAGAGTGGATATAAAGGTATATATATATTTATATGTGTATATATTACAGAGTTTCAATATATATATATATATATATATATTCTTAATTATATACATGTTTTATTCATTATTAGTAGTAGATTTAAGTGTCACTAAGTGATAGATATAAATTAAAATTGAAAACGTAATTTTTGGATATCTTTTAAAGTTATATTCTTAATAATAAATATTAAAACATAAATTTTAATAAGTCAACTTTTAGTTATATTAAAATTTTCTATAAATACATATGAGAGTAATCTTTTGATTTTTATATTTTTACTTATTGACGTTTTAAAATTTTTTATACATACATATAGGAGTAATCTGTTGATCTTTATATTCTCTCACGTTTGCGGATATTTTAAAAATTTTTATTTATACGTATAAGGATAATCTTTTAATTTTTATATTCTCATTTGTTTGGCGATGTTTTAAAATTTTTTATCTATATATGAGTAATCTTTTGATTTTTATATTCTTATGTATTTTGTAATATTTTTAAAATTTTTCATCTATACAAATGGGAGTAATTTTTTAATCTTTATATTTCCATGTGTTTATCAACATTTCAAAAAATTTCTATCTTTATACATGGAAGTATTATTTTAATTTTTATATTTTGATATGTTAATACGATAAAGCCTTTGATACTTTAAAAAAAAATTAAAAACCCTAATGAAAATTTTCAATATATATAATAATATTTAATGGAAATGTTTCAACAAAACTTTTTAATATTTATATAGATGTATTAAATTATGTGTTAAATCAAAAATTAATTTACTTTACCAACAAATCTCTACTTAGATAATTAATATGTTCATATCTCTATATATCTCTATAAGAGTTTATTAGTTGGAGTAGGGTTGACATTCTTACATATATATAATAAAAAATTGTATTACAATAAATGTATTCACATAAACTAATTACATAAAGTATATATATTTTTATTAAAAAATTAATTTATATTACAAAGATTAAAAAAAACTATTGTATACTAAAATTAACAATAGATCATACAAATAAATTGTTATGTTAATTATATTGTGTTTAAATAAATGAAATAACAAATTAAAATAATCCGCAAACTAATGATATAAAATGAATTTGATACATTAAGGGTATGAAACTACCATTTATCACACATTCATTATCTATATAATCCGAGCACATTGAAATAAAATCGTGTACATTTATGTAATTAAGATAAACAGAAAATGCAATCACATTTTTGCACACTTCGCATCTTTAAGAAATGCATAGGCAAAGCAAACATTAATTACCATTAAAGATAGGTATAGGGCCAGCTTACCTGTAAATTTGTTTAATTTATGATAAATAAAGACTCGTGAAACAGAAAAGTGCTGAGCATAGATTTAATAATATATTTTTTTTGTATTTTTTTTGTCGTGTCTCTGTCTATTATAAATATATAGTTATATGTATAATGTGGTCTTATATTTACTACTAATTATATTGCATTTTAAATATTACTTTAAATTATATATTGTTTGTATCTAACACTTAGGATTTTTTTAATTAAGTATTAATTGTTTTGATTAGCATTAAAATCAAGAAAATTAAGTCTGAATACTGAGATGATGAGTTGCAGTGATCACTACAAGACGAGCTACTGATGCTTTCTTCATATTGCGGGAGAGAGAACACCTTCTGGACCTTGTTCTCGCAGATGCCCATTTGGTCGACATGGACAAATATCAATTTCTTGAAACTATGGCTCGCGTTTCTCATCTTCCAGTTGTTGGTCAGTATATGCCTTTGATTCATCTTTACACACCAACGTATATACCACATGTATATATACATATATGTTTGTTTCTTGATCATAAGTAAATATATGTATATATAGTGATGTCAACGGACCAAGATGAGAATGGCATGTTGGGGAGCCTGCAGTGTGGGGCAGAATTTCATCTGGTGAAGCCAATTACATGGAATGATGTAAAAAGCCTTTGGCAATTTTCTATCCTGAGAAAAATAGAGCTCAGTCGGTCAGCTTCCTCTTCTTCTTCTTCTTCTTCTTCTTCTTCTTCTTCTTCTTCTGATCAAGGAGTGAGCAGCTCTGCCGCTGAATCGCTCCATATTTTCAATAGCATCAGTCTTGAATTAGATGATGACGAGGAGTCTGATGCTAACCATAGTGGCTCCAAAAGGAAACAGCCTGAAAACTCCTCCAGCAGGAGCTCAGATGATAACTCTGATTCATCCATCGTCAAGAAGAACAGGTTTGTTTGGACTAATGAGTTGCACAACAAATTCGTGCACGTCGTTGATTCTCTCGGCATAGAAGGTTAGTTCCCACTTCACGTAATTTCTTCATGTATAAATACATATATATGTGTGTGTGTGTGTGTGTGTGTGTGTGTGTGTGTGTGTGTGTGTGTCAATTTCCACCATTGACATTGCTTTTGTAATTGCAGAAGCTTTTCCGAAGAATATTCTTCACCACATGAACGTACCTGGGTTAAGAAAGGAACACATTTCAAGCCATTTACAGGTTTGTAATTAATCATATACATATATGTTTCAAGCCAATTATATATAATATTAGCAGAACACGTTCTTGAATATTCTATAAATTATTTTACTTTTAGTATAAATTCATATATATATACACACATATATATCTGAAAATTTAAATATACGTATAAACACACACCACCCATACATATTATATGGTCTTTGTAAAAATATATATATATTATATGCTGCAGAAATATCGACTATCTTTGAAAAGGGAACAAGTTGAAAGGTTGTATTTCTCAGCCAATCTGGGCTTGTGCCAGTTTTCTTCAAATCCGATCAACATGGGTGGAAGAGGCATTTATCAATTACTCGGCTCCCAGAAAGGAAAGGCACCATCTTTCCAACCCGAAATCAATAACATCTTCAAAGAGCATAACGTCAATCGGTCGAACTTGCAGGCTGCTGCCTCCGTCGGCGTGCCCTTTGGAGCTCCAGCCGCAAATTTTGATGTCTGTCAACTTCCAAGTTCATCACGTGCAGCAGCTAACTTTCCTCAAATGTCTTCTGTCACTCAAAACCTGGTCAACTTTTCAGACCTGATATCTGGTCCTGTTGCTGCTCCTCTCAACTATGGCTATGCGTTCGAGAATATGGAAAGGGACTATAACAAGTATAAGAATATGATTTATGATAGTAATAATAACAATAGTAGTACTGGTAGTAATTTGCAGCCTATGAAGGAGAAAGGTCTGGTCATCGGAGAAACCAGTTATAATAATAACAACAATTGGACGATCAGTGGAGGTGATTATTTGGATTATCAGTTGATCGATGAGTCAACTGACTGGCGAGCATTGCTTCAAAGTATCATGGAAGAAGAACTAACCCCTGTGCCTCAGCCACAGCCTGTGCAAGAAAAAGTTGCAGCTCAGCCGGGGCCGGCTCCCCAGATGCTCCACCCTGAGTCGACTCCACAGATTACTCAGCCGGCAGCGGCGGCAGTGGCATCACAGCAGTCAAACTTTGAGTATGATATGTTTGGGGCAGATAGGTATGGAGGAGTTGATGGTCTGTTCAACATGCTGACAGTCACAAACAATTTCTTCGATCAGGATTTCAATGATCTCCTGTAGATGATCTGCAAGTTTCCAGTTCAGGCCAGCATATGATGACAATGGTGGTCGAATGTTTGTTTCCTTTTTCAATTATTAAGAACTTGTTTTTATCAATCAGCTTCCAATAATGAGCCCGTTGAGGTGTGACGGGCTGAAACTTCATTTAGTTTGTTTGAGTTGTATTTGCTTATGTTTATGAACTATATGCTTGAAAATTTTAAGATCTTGTTTTTAAATAATCTTTTAATATTTTGTCATCAAATTTGTTATCTGCTTATTGGTGTGTGTGTGTGTACATATATATATATATATGTTTATGTATATATGCACATGATGATCATTCTCACACTATGAAAGGTTTTTGTTTTTTAAAAAATTCTTTTGAAAAATTAAATTTTTTTAATTAAAAAACACATACCGAAATATGTATTATCAATAAATTTTAAATTTATTTTTAATTATATTCAAATCATTTTAATTTTCATTAAAAATATATTGGATTGTTATATATTTATATTATTATTTTATAATTATCATTAAATATTATTTTAAATTGTATTATATTTTATTAATTACTATTTAATTAAATAATCAATATGTCTATTCATTTACAAAAGATTATGCTTGAATTGTGTCATATTTTTATGTGGTTTTTAGTTGGAATTAATTTTTATATAATTAGTGTATGTGTATTTTTTATATTAAATCATGCTATATTTTTATATATATTTTTATTTAGAAGTAATTTTTATATAATTAATGTATATGTATCATTTAATTAATAAATATATAAATTTATTTTAAAAAATTATATTTTATTTTGATTAGTATTTATGATTTTTTAATAAAATTTTATTTAATTATTTAAATATTTCATAAGATTTTTTTAAAAAAAAAAAGAGTAAATAAAATAGATAACGGATAAACTTATTTTACTTGTTTAACAGGTGACGGATAAAAAAGTTTCAATGTCCATGGGATCTTCCACAACTAACTGACAGGAACACGATACTCATTTAAGAGTTTCTAGAATTATCTGGAGGATTGTCATAAAAAATGTAGTTATGGTAGGGGTAATTTCGGAAATTAAAAGTATCAAATAAAACATTTCCGTCTGTTTCTTGTTGCATTTACCACAAACATGACCACTGCAACACCCACACTCTTCCAATCTCTCCCGCCAATTCCACCTCCTACAACTCCGCGAATCAGCCATCACCGACCTCCACCACCGGCGCTCAGTCAAGTCACCGGACGGAGAAGACCGACGTCGTTTCCGTTTCGGATTGTCTGCTCTAGAAGCCAAGATGATTATCACGCCACTCTCAAGGCCCTCAATTCCAGAGGTCGCTTTCCGAGAAAATCTCTCGGCCAGGTTCCTTCTCATTTCTTTTTCGTTTCCTTGTTTGGTTCCCTGGAAAGTAGATTTGGAATAATTCGGACTGTATTAGCTTAGCCTCGTTCGTTGGGGATAATAGTCGAACACTAAGCATGTGTCTGGTTTCGTGTGTTTTTCAGCATTACATGTTGAATTCTGAAATTAATGAGCAGCTTTCTCTTGCGGCTAATGTTAAGCAAGGGGATGTGGTATTAGAGATTGGACCTGGAACTGGATCTCTGACCAACGTACTTATAAATGCTGGCGCTGTCGTCCTTGCAATCGAAAAGGTTGGTTTAATTCAAAGGATATCATCACATATTTTTGTACTTCAGGAAAATTCTTGCTAGCTAGAGAATATGTATTGTTTTTCTTGTGTCATTCTTGTTTTATTCGGCAGCTACAGAATCATGCACTCTTCTTGTTTTGTCCTACAGGATCCACACATGGCTGACCTTGTGAGAGAAAGGTTTGCAGGGGACCAGTTCAAGGTATATTTTGTGTTTTTAGTTTGAAATTGCTTTTGCTACGTGAACCAAGAGATTGTTTGAGCAATGGTTATTACTCAGAAGTTGGATGTGTTGAAATAACCAGTTCCGGGGGAAAAAAAGGTATTCAAAACCAGGAAATCTGGCTGGACAAACTTAGAATCTAATTTTGTAGCTATTTAAATTTTATCCTTTCCAGATTCTCATGTTCATTTTGTTTTTGCTTAATGTCTGTTCTCCTGTTAGTAATTGTAGGTTTTGCAAGAGGACTTCACTAAGTGTCACATTCACTCCCACATGATCTCATTGTTGGAAAGTAGAAAGTCTTTAGCTGCAAACTCAAGCTTTGCAAAGGTGAGAACATGACTTCCTGTTATCTATTTTCTTTCCCATATCTTCCTGAATGCTGAATGTGACTAGTGGTTTTTGCCAAGAAGAGGAAACCAAAGAAGAAGGAATTTTTGAAACAATGGAAGATGGTTAATTTATTTTAATCCTGGTACCATGGTCACTGGTGCTAAGTGCATGCTGGCTTCATATATGTTGACATGGCTTTAACCAACCTGAATGTTTGCTCGACCTAACTTGATTTTAGACGCAATACCTTGAGTAACAGATTGCAGTACATGAAAATAACTAATTATAATTATGGATTTGGTTGGTTGAAACATTTTTAACCATTTGAAGAATGCAAGTTCGAGGGCTCACCTTTTACTATATCTGTAACTATAGAGTTCCTTTTTTCTTTGTATAGTTGGTGTCTAGGTTAATTAACTAGTTTGGAATTGAGGCATACTTAATATCTTTTAAGTGCAATTTTGTGTCAAAATTATTGATAGTAATTAAAACCATGCCCCATGAACTCGGGTTCAACTTTCATACTACCTTTTTCGTTATTAATCCTGAAAATAAATTGTGATAAATGAGATGCAAATCTAACAAGGTTATTTCATGCTTTCTTTGAGATAAATTTAACCTTCCTTTGCAGGAATAGCAGTTTTCTTAACTTTTAGTTACGTTGTTGAAAAAACTAGTTGGAATGGAGAAGTAATATTCTTTTTATACATGATAGTGACCTAATTCCACGGGGCCATCTGGTTCACTAATGCTGGTAACATTAAAAGACAGCATCCAAGTAATTGTTTTTTACATGGTTGAACAAATAGAGAAATTACTTTGGCATGAGCTGGTGGGTAGATTTGCCTTGTATGCTGGAAATCTTAGCTATTTTGTTGGAAAATATAACACATTGCGACAGAACTATTTCAAGTGTTTTACTGTAGGCCATAAACGTCAATGGATTTCTGGTAACCTTTTAAGGTTATGCAGCAAACTAAACATGGTAATACAATATACCAGCCTTAAGGAAACCTGGTATCGTAATCTGAGATTCCTGTTTATCAAATTTCAAAAACAAAAAAAGCCAATGTTATGTTTTGGCTATTACTACTGATTGCCTAAGTGTCTAATTTCCTGGTGAAAAAGATTTACATCCTCATGTAGTGTTAATTTTGAAGAATTGTAATTTTTCCCATTAGGATAATGATAGTTCCAGAAACTAAGCAGCTGTGAAGTGGTCAACCAACACATCCCATATCCCTTGTTTTCCGTCTGCCCATTATCTCCCACTATCCCATTTTCTTTTTAATTGCCTTAGAAGTAGGAAATAGCAGTTAGTATTTTCTGTATTTAAAGCATGAACAATTAATGAAAAAGAAGATGAAGTTTATTCCAGAAAACCAGCGGTAATATTCTCACCCAAAGCAGAAAAACTCATTTGATTTCATTCTTGCTGTGACTGAGACCTATCAGATAATTCTGTTACTTTTGACGAATCCTATAGTGCTATTATGTTTGAACTATTTTTATTGATTCAATAAATGTCTCATTTCCAGGTGATAAGATTTACATCCTTCTGCAGTGCTACTTTTGAAGAATTATAATTTTTCCCATCAGGTTATTCTGCATTTAGCATCACAAATAACTTATTTGCAGGTTGTTTCGAACATACCCTTCAATATTAGCACAGAGATTGTCAAGCAACTTCTTCCAATGGGCGACATCTTTTCAGAAGTTGTTCTTTTACTCCAGGTTAGTATTTGTGTAACAGCCCCGGAAAATATTAAAAAGAAATGAGTATTTAAATATATCGAATGCGGAAGCGAGATCAAAATTTCAGTTAACATCCCTTACACGAAAAACTAAAAACGTACTTAAAATATAAAAGGTTAAACTAACTAAGAAAGAAAACTCGAAAATAAACTATGCGTATGACTACAGAGTCTCTAGGCATCCCCTTCGTCGTCCTCCTGCGGAACGGGCTCGGGAACCATGTCTTCCTGATCTGAAATGGTTAATTAAGGAGTGAGCTACACTAGCCCAGTAAGAACATCACGATATCTCACCGTCACGGAGATAAAGGTGGGTAGAAAAACACAAAAAGACCAATGGAGCATAATTTACAACAAACTCGTTTATTAACATGAAAACCTTTACCATCCACTTACCTTGGTGGAATTTATGAAAACAATATGAGAAAAACAATAACATTATCATAATCATTGAATAATCTAAGCTGTAAAACATAACACTTATCACGCCTCTTGTAATTCAATCATTGTACAACATATCTTTTTTTCTCATTTACCAGCCTACTAGTATCCGTGGGGGTCCATAGGGGTTCCGCTACCCGTTAACCTTTAACATTCATAATCAGTTTCCAGGGCCGTCCCCATACCCCGTCCGGTATGGGCGCCAAAACCATGAACCTCAATACCCCGTCCGGTATGA